AAAAAAAAAAAAAAAAAAAGACATTTGCACCTGACTAAAAAAATTCTCACACTTTCTAGAGAGGTACATTAGGACACCACACTACTGTTACAACTGAAGACCATCCTCATTAACTCAGTCTAAGGCCTGATGCACCACCAGAGTCAATACATGCTCCTGGATGAGACTGATTTTAGGATATGAAGATAGATAGATACACACACACACACACACACACACACACACACATATACATATTGTAAATATATCTGTATATAACCTGCATATAAACATGTTTGAAAAGTATTTCTTGCCACAGTTTGTTGATAGGTCAAGGACTGGGAAATATTGCTACATTATTATGGAAATAAACGTGAGAGGATCAAGATTTAGACTAATCCAGTATACGAGGGGGAACTCCAAAAAATTGTGTGTTTAGCTGGGCGCTGTGGCTCACGCCTGTGATCCCAGCACTTTGGGAGGCAGAGGCAAGAGGATTGCCTGAATTCAGAGGTTTGAGGCCAGCCTGGGCAACTTGGCGAGACCTTGTCTCTACAATAAATCAAAAAATTAAGCCGGGCTCGGTGGCTCAGCCTGTAATCCCGCGCCTTTGGGAGGCTGAGGTGAGTGGATTGCCTGAGCCCGCGGGTTCGAGACCCGCCTGGGCAACTTGGCGAGACCTCATCTCTACAATAAATCAAAAATGAGCCAGGCGTGGTAGCACGTGCCTGTAGTGCAGCCACTGCACTCCAGTCTGGGTGACAGAGTGAGACTCCAACTCAAAAAAAAAAAAAAATTAGCCAGGCATGGTGGCACATGCTTGTGGTTCCAGCTACTTGGAAGGCTGAAGCAGAAGAATCACTGAGCCCAGCAGGTCAAGGCTGTGGTGGCCATGAGTATGCCACTGCACTCCAGCCTGGGCGACAGAGTGAGACTCTTGACCCCCAAAAAAGAAGAAAAAACATTGTGGGTTTATTCTTCCATGTTTGAACTTCACTCACCTTCCGAGTACTCTCCATTTGATGCCATACACCTATTGAGATGCTTTTTCCGTTGCCCAACAGTGTTTGAACTCATCAGTTTTGATGCCTTTGAGTGTTTCTGCCGTTTTTTGTTTCACCTCTTCCACATCGGCAAAACGTTTCCCTTTGAGGCCTTTTTTTCATCTGGGGAAGCAAAAAAAAGTCTCTCAGACAAGATTGAGTGACTAGGGAGAGTAGGACAAGAGTCATGCTGTTTTTGATCAAAAACTGCTGAACACTCAGCACAGTGTAGGCAGGTGCGCTTGTAAATCTCCATTGTGAAGTGGGTAGATGCATTGAAAGAATCTCCAAAAAAAATTTTCCTGAAGCCAAATGCAGCCTCTCACAACACTGGCTAGTCCACTGATGCCCATGGGTTCCTAGAACACTTACCTAGCCGGTACTACAAGGGGCCTGCCCTCCAGAAGATAATTCCAGATTTTTTGGGGTCCCTCCTTATATGGTAAACATTTCGTATTTCAGGTATTTTCTCATCTGTGACACCTTTAAACCTTGTGGAAATCAAATCTTGTAGAAAGATGCCTGATGTACCATCTGTCCAGGCCAGGGTTACTGAAAACAATTTCAAGCACTACAGTTCATGTTTTTTTTAATGTTATCTCTGCTATTTTAGGGTGGGGTCTGGAGCCTATGAACAAGTTGTGATCAAACGCTAGAAGTCAAGCTGGTGAACCATAGTTTCCCTGTGGACTTAAGATGGAACTAATTGTGTATAGAGGGATTTTATCCAAGTACTTACTAGAAATTCAACTTATGAAAAAGATGAATCATCTCTCAAGAGGAAAGCCAGTGCCGGTTTCTTCTCTGGAGGCACCCACTACCCTGCCACCCTCCAGAGGGAAATGTCCACATGGTAGTCTCAAGGCATTTGCCACGCGTGTACCCTGGAAGCCTGTGGCTTCTGTGGTCACTGCATGTGATCATGAAAAGCCTGCTTTTTCTTCAAAAACACCCCAGTAGGGAAGACAGCATGATACATATTTGAGTATAATTTTAGTATTCAAGTGTAAAATCTGTGATAAAGGTGCTCAACAGATTTGGGCTCTATGGGATTGTTTTTTTCCCCACTAATTTTATGTCTGAGAGATAATAAATGGATGTAATTTAAACCCTATAAATTCTGTCACGATAGTTCCAATTGCTGTGAAGGAAACCTTCCATATTATACCACCTACAGTATTGTACTGAGTTTATTCACTCTTGAAACCATCATTCATATAGCATGGGTGCCCATGCTTTGGGACAATGTTAGATCACAATTTAAACATGTAAAGTGCTTTCTAATAATTCTAAATGTATCCGTTGTAAACCAAATGACAAGTGAGTGTAAGTCTGAGCTGTGTGAATGGACGCAATGCTTTTATAATGCAGTAATATTGTTCCTTGTTCGTATTAGATGAGCTGTAGGACCCTACTAGCGATATGGAAAAGATTCAAAGTAGATTTCATATTCAGTATGTTAGGTTAGCTTAAGGCACCCTCACAGAAGAACTGTTTTAACTCGCCGAACACTAAGGTCTGCCCTATTTCAGGAATGGAAATGTAGAAAAAAGAGGAATGTTGTGATGTGACCCAAAAGAGGGAAGCATTTTCTATGTAAATTCAGACCTATCTGAAACTGCAGATGATTCTGCCATGGGAGTGGGTAGCAGTCGATGGCTGCTTACCATGACTGATGATGACGGGTTGTTTTCTGTTTTCACTCTCTGTGACTAGATCCTGTGTTTTCTTCTTTGCTAATCAGAAGTTAGTTATTTTGGCAAGAGCAGACTATAACATACATCAAATATAGCTTTTAAAATGATAATACCTGGTCTGGGTCCAGTTTAGCAGTACAGCAGATAAACGTTAAGCTTTTCTGGTCTTATATGACAGGTTCCAAGTAGAAAGATCTAAACTTCCTTGGAATCCGTCAGTGAAGAAAAATGTAGATTCTGTAGAACTAGCAGTACCCCAATTCTTTACTTTCAAAATCATGCCCAAGACAGATATGTCAAAAGAGGTGACTCGGGCCTCAGATAAGGGGGAAATGGTATTCGTTTAATCTCCACATTCAGAGTTTGGGAAAATTTTGAATAGTTAATGTTAGGATTTCGTTTATTTTAAAAAATATTTCGTGGGGATAGTGGGTACACTTAGGGCCCAGACCAAAAACTATTTGTATTCCCTAAAGCTATGGAAATAAAAGAATAAATAAAATATTTCAATGATGGGATGTTCCACATTAATCCAATACTATTTTAACAAGAATAGATTCTGGAATTTTTAAAAAGATGGCGCTATTTTATATTTTAAAAGTTGAGAGAGAGTGGTTTTCTGAGTTATTGGTTATACTTTTTATTTTTTAAGATTTACTTTTAAGAAAAAAACATTGAACATTTTAGTCTAGCCAAGACAAATGTTACCTTAAGCAGTAAAGACTTACCGTCTGCACATGAACTGATCTATTCACTGTATATTATGGGAAAAATCAAAGAAAGGTTTGTATAGAGATATAAAGACATTATTTAGAGATTTATTATGACTTTTTTAAAAACATATTTTTGTATTTTCAAAATATTATTTCAGGCTATATTTTTTATTGGCGCTTCTGCAGATAATTCTGCAGTTTTGAAAATGATGAAACTAGATTGTGAGTGGGGTTCAGTGAGGACATTCATGAGACATCTCGAAGGTGCTGTCATCAGGGCCGTGCCCACCTTCCTCACCGTTCACTGCCTTTGGCCCTACACCTTAACCCAAGATTAATTCTCAGGATTTTAAATGGTACTGGACTTTTTTTTTTCCTAGTAGAGAGATTTTGAAAAGCGTAAAAAGCATGCCTTTGTCATTTTCGCAACCACCAGATACATCTTGATTTATGTAGTAGTAATTATAAGAAATGGTTTAATAAATAGAAACACTGATTAGGAATTTTTAAAAAGGACTAAGGCCTCTCTGTCCTTCATAGTCAGTAAAAGCCTGGATTCATTTTATTCTGTTTTGTGCTCTGCTGGCGTACTCTGCCCTCAAACTTCAGTGCAGTCCTTTCAGAATATTTGCTAGGGGTGCCTTACCTGCTGTTTACCCTCTCCTTAGAGCATGTATTGTTTAGTATCTTAGCCACGTAGCTGTTGAAAAAAATCTGCTAATTAAATATAAGTCTGCTTTTGATTCTGTTTTGAGTATAGAAAACTGGACTTGAAAAAGCAGATTCTTAATACAATGATCTTTAAACATTAATGTCCAATTTGAAATCAGTCTTAGAGAACTTGCAGATGTATGAGACACTTTTTCTAATTCTATGCTAAGAGAAAGGCTCATGGGATTATATATCTGTGTATCTGTGATAAGGAAGAGTCTTAAATACCTTGTTGGGGAGAATGCACCGGCCAGTCAGGAGAACCCCCTTCCTGTAACCAGAACTGGTGACTGAGACCAAACAAGATGAGAAACACATAAGGGACAGAGAAGGTTCTGGGCCATTGTTTAAACTTGAATGGCCGAAGCCCCTTTGTGGTGGTTTTGAAGCTTCTGTATACAGTCAATGTAGATTCATAATTATTGTATGAAAAAGTCTTGACCAAGAATCAATCCTAAATGCTGCCATCCTATTCCAGCATAACACTCCCAGAATCCTGTCCAAACTGTACATTCTTTTGCCTGTGCTTTTTTTGTATAAAATGGTGAGCCACAGAGGTTGACCACTTAGTCCACTGGTTGCTAGAAAGAAAAAGAAAATTTCAAACGACCCTCCAGTCAAAGCATGTTCAAATTCAGGCAACAGTGAGTTTTAATCAGTTAAAACATCCAGAAGCAATTTTAGACTCCTGGACTCCATGCTAATTAGACCCCTTTGCAAGCTCAAGCTGACAGTATTATGAAGTACTTCACTGAGGTGGGGGCAGCAACACTTAGACAGATCAGGCTCGTGCGGTAGGATTGGACTGTATTTTCTTAACAGATCTTTAATTTGAGCAGTTCAGAAAGTATGCACAGTCCTTCTAGGTGGTATGTCCCATGAACAGAATCAAGTACTGTACTTGAAATTGTACTATGCCACTACTTACGTGTTGACTTAGGTACTATGTATAATGTTAATAGCAGAAATGTCAAAAAATAGGAAGTCTAAAACAAAGGGTGAAATATGCCTATATTAAACCTGTTGTAAGACTGCTCTGGAAATAAAGGCTTTATCCCCTTATATACTGATTTTCCTAAGATAATGTATACACAGATTTTCAATGCTCGTGTGGGTTGTCTATGTAGTTACTCCCCATACTACAAAGCTGACAAAATGTTGCATTTACACACTATTCTGCATTTAAAATGTTTGTCTTCTTTTTTTTCTTTTTTCTTTTTTTGAGTGGGAGTCTCACTGTTACCCAGGCTGGAGTGCAGTGGCATGCTCATGACCACTGCAGCCTTGGCCTGCTGGGCTCAGGCCATCCTTCTGCTTCAGCCTGCCAAGTAGCTGGAACTACAGATGTGAGCCACCACGCCCAGCTAATTTTTTTGATTTATTGTATACATAAGGTCTTGCCAAGTTGCCCAGGCTGGTCTCAAACCCTGGGCTCAGGCAATCCTCTCACCTCTGCCTCTCAAAGTGCTGGGATTGCAGGTGTGAGCCACCACACCCAGCCTGTCTCCTTTTATCTTATGTATATAACAGAACATTTTCTTGCTGATATTCATTGACCAAATCCCATGAAGGAGAAGACATTGAGAGTATATTCAGTTTGATTGTTTTTTAGAAATACCTCTTATTTGGGGGATCACCTTCCTCTTCTGTGTTTGATTTTCTGGAAGTTGATGCAGTGTGTGGATAATCATCCAAATGTTTATGAAAAATTTTGCTGAAGTGATTCCATCAGTATTCTGATACTTGGAAAATGACCTTCATATTTATATATGTTTCTGTTTCAACTATACAATGATAAATCCAGGAAGTGTTTCTTTTTTTTTTTTTTTTTTACAAAAACTAATTTTTTATTTGTAAAGCGTTTGTAATAATGTAAACGTGGATCTTATACATGTTCAATAAAAATCATATCTTAAAAGTTTACATACTCGTTTTATTTTAAAATATCAGTTAAGATTCTGTCAAAAAATCGTGCCAGGGTGGCGGCGGGGGGTGGAAATACATCAACAATACAGCTACCTGATCTCAAACAAGACAAAGTAGGGAATAAAGGGAGACCCAAACTTTACCTGTACAATGCCCACTTGTATACCTAATCCTGAATTATACCTTACATCTTTAAAATAAAATATATAGACTAGGCCCAGTTGCTCACACCTATAATCCCAGCACTTTGGGAGGCTGAGTTGAGAGGATTGCCTGAGCCCACGGGTTCAGGACCAGCCTAGGCAACTTGGCGAGACCTCATCTCTACAGTAAATCAAAAAATTAGCCAGGCATGGTGGGGCACGCCTGTAGTTCCAGCTACTTGGAAGGCTGAGGCGGGAGGACCACCTGAGCCCATCAGGTTGGGGATGCAGTGGCCGTGAGTGTGCCACTGCCCTCCAGCCTGGGTGACAGAATAAGACTCAAAAAAACCACGGTTTAGGATGAGTTTGAACCTAGGTCCTTCTCTGCAGGCTGCCAGGGCCTCCCTGGGACAGTGTGGGTCATAACAGGTTAAGCAACTAAAGAAAAAGCCCCGGTTGTTGGTAGAAGAGCATGGGGGCTGGGCACCCCAGGGGACCCTCCAGATTCCTCCCTGGTACACAGGACCACATGGGATCACCCGAATCACGTGGCGCCAGATCACAGAACCCACAGGACCTCTGGGCTGTCCCCAACCCTGCCCCACACCCAGCATGGAACCCTCAGGCCTAGTCTTCTTGCTTGCTTGGACGCTTTCTCACCATCTCGTGGTCTCCTTCCTCTTCCTCTCTTCCTCCTTTCCTTTCTGTTTCACAGATTTCCACTTCTCTGCTTCCTGTATCTGTGTCCCCTACTGGTAGCACCATGTAATGAAGCCTTTTCTATGTGTATTATGGGCAGGGAATCATTGGCATTCATTCATTCCACATGACACAAAATATAACAAAGTGAGGAAACAGCGAAGGCTGAAATGCAGAAGCTCCCTGGGTCGTTGATCTCTGTGTGAACCCATGTAATAAGGAAATCCTGAATGAATGAATGCAGAGCCCTTTCCTCTGCGGTTGCAACTCAGCTGGGGTGGGATGTCTCCTCAACCATTTCTTAAGAAATCGACTTCACTGCAATCCATAAGCCATTTCAACAGTGGGTTTTCCTTCGAGTGTGTGTTGCAGAAGACTTCCAGCCTCCACGGAAAGTTGGCATGCCTAAGATTTTTTTGCGTCTTACATTAGGAAGTCCTCAAAGCAAGTACGGGCCACCATAGAAAAGTATAGGAAAAGTGTGCCACCTTCTGGCATTGAACTTCAGTGGTTCTGTTCAAATCTGCCTGTCCTGTCCCAAGCAATCCTGTGCCTGCTCCTATTTCACATCTATTCCATGAACCTAAGATCAAAGGAAAACATGCATTTTGTATCTTTTCAGTAATAATTTGAAAATTTCTGGCCAGGCACAGTGGCTCATGCCTGCAATCCCAGCACTTGGGGAGGCTGAGGCAGGAGGATCACTTGTGCCCGGGAGTTTGAGACCAGCATAGACAACATAGCAAGACCCCGTCTCTACCCAAAAAAAATCAAAAAATAAGCCAGGCATGGTGGCATACGCCTATAGTCTCAGCTGCTTGGGAGGCTAAGGTGGGAGGATCCTGAGCCCAGGAGGTTGAGACTGCAGTGAATAATGATCATGCCACTGCACTCCAGCCTAGGCAGAGTGAGACCCCCAACTCAGAAATAAACAAATTTTCTCTTCCAGAACCCCTTCATTCTCTCTGCCCTTGCCAATCCTTTCCATCTACTTATTAACCCTTCAAAACTCAACTGAGCATGACTGCCCCTGGCACACCTTTCTCAGGCACCAGCTCTGCCTCCCTTTCAGGTCAGTTAGGATGTCCCAGCTGTGACACAGATGGCTATCTGTCACAATATCCCTTCTCCCCTTGTTCCTTGGCAGACAGTCAAGTGGGCAATGGTCTCCCAGGATTAAGACAACACTTCCTAGCTGGGCGTGGTAGCGCGTGCCTGTAATTCCAGCTACTTGGAAGGCTGAGGCGGAAGGATCGCCGGAACCCAGCAAGTCGAAGCTGCAGTGGCCGGGAGCGGCCACTGCACTCTAGTCTGGGCGACAGAGTGAGACTCCAACTCAAAAAAAAAAAAGACAACACTTCCCAGCTTCCCCATGTGAGGCCAGCCATAAGACTTCGTTCTGGCCAACATGAAGTAACTTGCAGCAGACCTCACCAGACAGCTGGCCTGCACCCTCAGTACCTTCTCCTCCTCTGTGCTGCTTTAGAATATGTAAGTGGCCAGGCACAGTGGCTCATGTCTGGAATCCCAGCATTTTGGGAAGTGGAGGCAAGAGGATTGCCTGAGTCCAGGGATTTGAGAGCAGCCTTGGCAACTTGGTGAGAGACCTCATCTCTGCAACAGATTTTTAAAAATTAGCCAGGTGAGTGGCTCATGTCTGGAATCCCAACACTTTGAGAGGTGGAGGCGAGAAGATTGCCTGAGCCCAAGGGTTCAAGACCAGCCTGGGCAACTTGGCGAGACCTCATCTCTACAATAAGTCAAAAAAAATTAGCTGGGCATCGTGGCACACATCTATAGTTCAAGCTACTTGGAAGGCTGAGGTGGGAGGATCACCTGAGCCCAGAAGGTTGAGCCTGTGGTGGCCGTGAGCGTGCTACTGCACTCCAGTCTGGGCGACAGAGTGAGACTCTGACTCAAAAAAAAACAAAAAAGAAAAGAAAAGAAAATATAAGTGGTAGCTGGAGCTAAAACCTCCATCTTTGCTCCTGAGGTGGCAACGTGAGCAGCCACAGTCGCAAGGTGGGTGTCCAGGTCCCCGGGTGGTAGAGCCAGCACGCCCAGTTGGCCTGTCTGGACTCTGGGTCCGAAAAGAGATGCCTCACTTCAACAACTTTCTCCTCCACTGGGTGAAGCTGCAGTGCTCTCTCTCATTAGTCCCAACCAGGAAACTTCTGGAGAAGAGGGTGCTCAGAGAAATGTGGACATGATGGCAGCAGGAGGCTCCTGTGCCCTCAGTCCCCCGCGTTCCTGTTTGTAGTACGTTGCAGGTGAGCTAATACTCAGGTTAATACAGAGGTTAGAATTTGGCCAAAGGAGATGGAGAATCCTGGCGAGACTTGAGGGGGCTCCTTTGCCCCCTGGGAAAAGGCTTTCCACACTGTATTTGGGAACTTTCTCTGAAATTTTTAATGTCCCATTCAACTCACAGCTCTAACACAAAAAGTACAGGTACATTCCAAATGAACACATTACCATGTCTTGATAAAATATCAAAAATTAAAAGTCTGAATATAAAGGAAAACACCCCACTCAGAGCGAACACTAACATCTCTCTGAGTTTACAGCCTTCTGGCCCCACATCAAGCAGGCCTGTCTGACAGCTTGAAACAGGCACTTCTGGGTTAAAACCTTTAAACCACTACTTGAATGATGGCTACATCGAGTTCAAATTAAAATTCGAAGTGAGCCCCGTCCCTGCTGAGACCCCGCGTGCCAGGAAGGATGGCTGGCTCAGAAGCGACTCTGAGGGTCTGAGCGGCCGTGCAGGCCCACGACCACGGCAGAGCCATCGCCGCTCAGGGGCATGGAGGCCGCGATGCGTGACCTCAGCACCTCCTCGCTGGCGCACAGGCGGCTCAGCCTGGAATAAGCGAGGAGTCTCCGCAGGGGCACGAAAAACTTGCTGCCCACACAGAAGGGCTTGGGAGACTTCTCGATCCGGGCTTTTTCATCCTCTGTGAAGGAAGGTCCGAAGCCACCAGGGTCTTCTGGCTTCGCCTTCAGGGCTCCGTCCTGCTCTTGCAGACTCCGCAGGTAGCCCACTCTCAAGCTTTCCACGTGCTGGGACACCTGACTCATCAGCTGAGGGACGAGATACCTTTCCTGCTGTAGGCTCGGGTAGGAGACCGTGAAAACCTGAAGGGGACAAACAGACACTCAGAATGTAGGAAAATGTTCAGAGCCATTGGAAACTGTTGGCCACATCAGAATTACCCGCATGTACCTACGGGATGGATGTCCAATCCTACTCATCGTGAACGCCCTACTATCATGGGAACCTACCCTGACAGCCACACAGACTAGCAGACCCGCTTTCCAGTTCTAATGCCGATGGTCCCTGAGCCAGTCTTCTACCAATTCATACGAGTCCAATATTCCGACTTGATATTACAGGGGAAGGGAGAAAAAAGAGAAATTCAGCCGGGCTCAGTGGCTCAGCCTGTAATCCCGCACCTTTGGGAGGCTGAGGTGAGTGGATCGCCTGAGCCCGCGGGTTCGAGACCTGACTGGGCAGGCAAGACCTCATCTCTACAATAAAATCAAAAAATTAGCCGGGCATCGTAGCGTGCGCCTGTAATTCCGGCTACTCGGAAGGCTGAGGCAGAAGGATTGCCGGAGCCCAGTGGGTCGATGCTGCGGTGGCCGGGAGCGGCCACTACACTCCAATTTGGGTGACAGAATGAGACTCCAACTCAAAAAAAAAAAAAAAAAAAAAAGAAAGAAAAATTCAGGCTGAGTGAGGTGGCTTGGACCTGCAATCCTAGCACTTTGGGAGGAGTGCTTGAGCCCAGGAGTTCGAAACCAGCCTGGGCAACATAGTGAGACCCCATCTCTATTAAAAAAAAAAAAAAAGAAAGAAAGAAAAATTCCCTTTCAGTGGAAAGGGTTTGTGTGTTTCTTCTTCGTCCCTCTCCTCTACACCAAGGGTCTGAGAAACTTGGAGGCTGTTTTAAGACTCACTTCCTGAGCCCAGTAGGCAGAGCTGCTGCTAGCTTTCCTCTTTACCAATAATCCTAACAGAGTTCAAGTCGAGGCTTCTGAAGTATTGCTTTGAAGTATTCTTTTTTATTAAGAGACAGGGTCTTGCTGTCACCCAGGCTACCATGCAGTGGCATGATCATAGCTCACTACAGCCTCGAATTCCAGAGCTCAAGGGATCCTCTGCCTCAGCCTCCCAAGTAGCTAAGACTATAGGCACGTGCCACTCTGCACGTCTAACTTTTTTTATCTTTATAGAGACCAGGTCTTGCTATGTTGCCCAGGCTGGGCTCCAACTCCTGGCCGCAATCAATTCTCCCCGACCCCGGCCTCCCGAAGAGCTGGGATTACAGGTAAGAGCCACTGCGCGCAGCCTGCTTTGACATACTCTCAGAAGACTCCAGCAGGTCATTCCTTGGAACATGGTTCGAGACCTGGCAAAAGGTGAGGCAGTCTCAAAGGGTGCTGGCAAGACCAACTGCCAGTAGTCATGGGCCCTGAAGAACTCTCCTCAGGTGAGCCACAAAATAAGGGCATTCGCACACATGTCTACTGTGTGACTCTTGCCTCCCCCTGAAAAGCTCATCATCTTTCTTTTTTTTTTTTGAGTTGGAGTCTCACTCTGTCGCCCAGACTGGAGTGCAGTGGCCGCTCGCAGCCACCGCAGCCTCAACCTGCTGGGCTCCGGTGATCCTTCCGCCTCAGCCTTCCAAGTAGCTGGAACTACAGGTGCGCGCTACCACACCCGGCTAATTTTTGATTTATTGTAGAGATGAGGTCTCGCCAAGTTGCCCAGGCGGGTCTCGAACCCATGGGTTCAGGCAATCCACTCACCTCAGCCTCCCAAAGCGCTGGGATTACAGGCTGAGCCACTGAGCCCGGCTAAGCTCACCATCTTAATGGTCCTCTTGCCCTAATAGCCATCTCGCAAAAATACTCACAGTTGTATAAATATGTTGCTCACACAGCTCGGCCACGCGCAACTCCGGGGCTTTTCCTCCGTTCTGCTGGAAGATGCCAATCTGGGTACAGTAGCCAACACTCTCTGCCCCAGAGGGGGGATCCCCCACACCAGTGAACGCCACAGAGTAATTGTAGCGATCCGCCACACACAGAGCCCTGGAATCAAAATAAGGAGAGCAAACATTTTTCAAACTTAGAGCTACTGTTAAACAGGCAACAGTTTCTGGCCATAGTACAGTAGAAGGTGAAACATGGAACCATCTCAAGTACTTCTAAGTTACAGCTTCCTCCACCACTGTGGCCTTTATTTCTGTGAGGAGATGACACACTGATCTAGTGTCGGGTTGCCAAGCTGACACAGAGTACGGAAGAGAAGAGGAAAGTCACGGGGCAGGGGGCAGCAGGACACAGTGACCACGTGGGCCACACTCAGCCAGCTACCTGGATTGCAGTGACACCAGAAGACCCAGGGGATGCTGTCCCTGTCTTGTTCCTCACTCCTCATCAACTCCCCAGAAGCTTTCAGTTAAAGGTGCTCACACACCTTCCCACGCTTGCCCAAATGCAGTGGTTCCTTTAGGGTCTTATTACATATTTGTCACACGCTGGAAATCAATTTTATTGGAACAAAGTAAGAAAAAATTGAGACAATATATAATGACAAGATTTCCTTCCTAGGATTTTATTTGTTTTAGTCGGGTCTTATTCTGTTGCCCAGCCTGCTGTACCCAGCCTGGCACCACCATGGCTCACCTGTCTCCATATCCTGGGCTCAAGCGATCCTCCTGCATCGGCCTCCTGAGTAGCTGGGACCACAGGCGTGTGCCACCACGCCCAGCTAATTTTATTTTTTTTGTACCGACAAAGTCTTGCCCAGTTGCCCAGGTTGTTCTTGAACTCCTGGGTTCATCAATCCTCCAGCCTTGGCCTCTCAAAGTGCTGGGAATACAGGTGTGAGCCACCATGCCTGACCCACTTCCTAGGATTCTATTTATTTATTTTATTTTTTTGAGTTAGAGTCTCACTCTGTCGCCCAGGCTGGAGTGGAGCGGCATGCTCACGACCACCGCAGCCTTCACCTGCTAGGTGATCCTTCTACCTCAGTCTTCCAAGTAGCTGGAACCATAGGCACACACCACCATACCCAGATAATTTTTAATTTATCGTAGAGAGGAAGTCTCACCAAGTTGCCCAGGCTGATCTCAAACCCGTGGGCTCAGGCAATCCTCTCACCTCGGCTTCCCAAAGTGCTGGGATTATAGGCGTGAGCCACCATGCCTGGCCCTTCCTAGGACTTTCAATTCCAGTGAGATCCCCAAAATCAAACAAAAAAAGCTTTCTGAACTTACCAAGTCTGAAACTGCATTCTGGTCCACTCAAATTTATGATCTGAATCTCTCATGGTCACTGACGGGAACAGGGGATTGAACTCAGCATTTGGTGTGCTGATGACGACCAAGGATGGAGACATGTACCCAAACACCACTTCAGGGAAGCTGGCCAGATCGCCAGAATCCAGATGCTCTATCCTAAAACAGTTCATGGGAAAGAGATGATACAACTTAGCTTCGTTGGTCCCAGCAGCCCAGGCGGCGGGAGGAGTGGCCGCAGCCAGGCAGCCCAGCCTTGCCAGGTGCCTTCCCTGGCCCACAGGCACCCAGCCCACACCCTGCCCGCCGCCAACAAGCCCAGGGGAAGGCCAGCTCCCCCAGAGGGCGGAAGGGGGCCAGATCAGGGCACCTGTCACTAAACCTGCTCCTGCAAAATTGGAAGTGAAGCCAAAAAAGGCAGCAGGAAAGGATCCCTCTTCAGATTTAAAAAAAGTGCAGGGAAAAGGAGAGCAAAAGAAAAACAAGCCCAAGGGCTGGCCAAGAAGCTAAAGAAGAGTTGCTTGCAGGTGGGTGCGGTGGCTTACGCCTGCAATCCCAACACTTTGGGAGATGAAGGTGGGAGGACAGTCTGAGTCCAGAAGTTCGAGACCAGCCTGGGCAATTTGGCTGAAACCTCGTCTCTATAATAAATCAAAAAAGTAGCTGGCGTGGTGGTGCGTGCATGTGGTTCCAGCTACTTGGAAGGCTGAGGTGAAAGGATCGCCTGAGCCCAGCAGGTCAAGACTATGGTGGCCATGAGAGTGCCGCTGAACTCCAGCCTGGGTGACAGAGTGAAACTCCGACTCAAAAAAAAAAAAAAGGTACTGCAGAAAATAGAGAAACTAAAACCGGGGAGAATCCAGCCTCCGATGAAGAAGGAGAGAAAGAAGCCAAGTCTGAATATTATCACACCATGTGTTACCCAGGGCCCTGCCCCTCCTTGTACAATCTAGAGGAAGGTTTGTATCAACTATTTTGTAAATGCGAGCTTTTAATACCCCTAGAAACATTTTAAGAAGGAGGGAATCCCACCTCATCCCCTTTTTTAAAGAGTAAATGCTTTTTTTAAAGAGGTGAAATCATTCGCTAGTTATTTTGGGGTACAACCAGAAAATAGTGTGGGATATTGAATTACAGGAGGTTTTGACTGTTTTGGGTGTCAGCTGAACACTCCATAACTCAGGGGTTAGTTTCTATATCCTATAATACAAAGCATACTACACAGCAATATGGATGGATCACAATCCTGCATTTAATGTCTTGAACATTTAAAATGATTTCTATTCCCATGGGTTTTTGTTGTTGTTGTTGTTTTTTACTAGAATTGTTTCCTAAAGAAAAATACTCCTTAGCTGGACATGGTGGCTCACGCCTGTAATTCCTGCACTTTGGGAGGTGGAGGCAAAAGGATTACCTGAGTTCAAAACCAACCTGCACATCTTGGTGAGACCTCATCTCTACAATAAATAAAAAAATTAGCTGGGTATGGTGGCGCATGCCTGTAGTTTCAGCTACTTGGAAGGCTGAGGCAGAAGGATTGCCTGAGCCCAACAGGTTGAGGCTGTGGTGGCCGTGAGCATGCCACTGCACTCCAGCCTGGGCAAAACAGTGAGACTCCGACTCAAAAAAAAAAAAAAGAAAGAAAAGAACAAGAAAACCATTCCCTGATCATGGCTCTCCCTGTCAGCACTGTGTGTACTCTGTAACATCTTTGATCATGGTAATCCTGTTTTTCTAATAACTTTGTTCACAAGCTGTGGAAAAACTGAAAACTTAAATATGTCGTGATATGAGAAGTTATGAATGGGTGGGATGTAGGTAACAGCTTATCAACATTTGAAGATACTGGGACATGATACCTCTTAAGGAAAATTCACCTCCAAATTTTAAGCTGTAAGTTACTGGAATAACTTTAAAAAAATAATGATAGGGCAACCCCCTTGGGTTCCCTCCTACTGTGGGAGCTTTTCTGTCCTCTCAATAAATCTTGCTTTCAAAAATTAAAAATTTAAAAAATGATACATAGCTTTTTAGATTTTCGGTACGTATGCTAAGAGTTGCATAAAAATTAAAATGTCTGTTTGCTGATCCTTGACACAACCAATAAACTCTCAATTATGAAAGACAAAAAATGAAACTGAGCTTCACCTGCACCTATTTTCCTGACAGATATCGCAAAACCAATCCCATCTGTACACTGATGTCTCCCTTCTTTGAATACATCATAGAGCTTAAGTGTCCTAAGAACAATTATTTATATGTTCTCGTCCTCTCCTGCTCCCCACCTCCACCCATGGGGCTCCCTCATGCAAACAGGGCCCTTTCCTGTACCTCATTATCAATACCTCTTGAAAAAAGGTATCTTAAGAAGCTGGACACGATGACACCTGCCTGTAATTGTAGCACTTTGGGAGGCCAAGGCAAGAGAAATGCTTGGGCCCAGGAGTTCAAGACCAGATTGGACAAAAAAGCAAGAACTCATCTCTTACCAATAAAAAAAAAAAATTACGAGTAAGAACACATTTAAAAATTAATTAATTAAAATTTTTAAAAATTTAAATAAAAAATTAGCCAAGCATGGTGGTACACACTTGTAGTCCCAACTACTCAGGAGGCTGAGGCAAGAGACGGCCTGAGCCCTGGAGGTGAGGCTGCAGTGAGTCGTGAGCAAGCCACTGCACTCCAGCCTGGGATCTCAATTAAAAAAAAAAAAAAAACTGGCTACTCGGAAGGCTGAGACGGAAGGATCGCCGGAGCCCAGCAGGTCGAGGCTGCGGTGGCCGGGAGCGGCCACTGCACTCCAGTCTGGGCGACACAGTGAGACTCCAACTCAAAAAAAAAAAAAGCAAGAGCAAAACAGTCAACGTATAGCTGAGCAAGCAAAGCACCCTGACTAGGAGGATCAACATTACACCACCAGGCGGGCGGACGGGCACTGCCCTCTAGCGGGGACACCATGGGAGAGCCCAAGTGACCCCCGCACTCTGCAGTAATCCTAGATGTGTAACCTGAAGCTAGTCACCAGGCGCCCACAATGAAAAACATGGGGTAGTTGCCAGGCGCAGTGGCTCCTGCCTGTCATCCCAGCACTTTGGAAGGCGGAGGCAAGAGAATTGCCTGAGCCCACGGGTTCAAGACCAGCCTGGGTAACTTGGCAAGACCTTGTCTCTACAATAAATCCAAAAATTAGCAGTGTGTGGTGGCATACACCTGTGGTTCCAGCTACTTGGGAAGCTAAGACGGAAGGATCGCCTGAGCCCAGCAGGTTGAGGCTGCAGTGCCTATGAGCATGCCACTGCACTCCAGCCTGGGCAAGAGTGAGACTCCGACTCAAAAAAACAAAAACAAAACTAGGGCAGAGGACTGGTTACATAATACCCCTTGTCTTAGAATGATAGACTGAATTCTCCCCCTTTGATTTTTAGTTGACATGTAATAACTGTACATATGTATGAGGTATGGGATGATATTTCAGTACATGTGTACAACATGTAATAATGAAGCCAGGTTAATGAGGGCACCTGTTACTTCAAACATGTATCATTTATTTGTGCTGGGAACATTCAAAATCTTCTCTTCTTGTTTTGTGAAAAATACTATAAACCAATGTTAAGTATATTCACCCCACAGTATTACAGAGTAAAATGCAGTCCTCTTATATAGATGTCAGTTTTTAAGCTTCCACATAATGATGAGAACATGGGGTGTTTCTCTTTCTGGGCCTATTTCACTTAACAGGATGTCCTCCAGGTTCATCTGTGCCAGAATTTCATTCTTTTTTAGGACTGAAGAGTATTCATTGTGTATACACCATGCTGCCTTTATTCATTCAGGCCGATTTCATGCCCTGGCTATTGTGAATAGTGCTGCAACCAACAGTGGGGTTCGGAAATATCTCTTCAGTGTAATTTCCTTTCCTTCAGATAAATACCAGTAGTGAGACAGCTAGATCATACAGTATTTGATTTTCAGTTTTTTTGTTTTGTTTTTTGAGTTGGAGTCTCACTGTTGCCCAGGCTGGAGGGCAGTGGCACACTTATGGTCACCACAGCCTCAACCTGCTAGGCTCAGGCAATCCTTTCGCTTCAGCTTTCCAAGTAGGTGGAATTATAGGTTGTGCCACCACACCTGACTAATTTTTTTATTTCTTGTACAGCTGATGTCTCGCCAAGTTGCCTAGGCTATTCTCGAACCCCTGAGCTCAGGCAATCCCCTCACCTCTGCCTCCCAAAGTGCTAGGATTACAGGTGTGAGCCACCGCACCTGGCACATTTTTTTCATATACTTGCTGGTCATTTGTACATCTTCTGTTGAGAAATAATCTATTCAGATCCTTTGCCCATTAAAAAAAAAAACTTTGGTTTTTTTGCTGTTGTTTGGGTTCCTTCTATAGTCTGGATATTAGTCCCTTGATGGATAAATACTTTGCAAATATTTTCTCCCATTCTATAGATTATCTTTTCACTGGTGAGTCCTTCCTTTGGTGTGCAGAAGCTTTGGTTTGCTATGTCCCACTGGTATGTTTCTGTTTGTAGTCTATTGTTTTCAAGCATTACCCATAAATGTTTCCCGTATGTTTTCTTCTAGTAGTTTTATAGTTTCAGGTCTCACATTTAGGTCTTCATTCCATTTTGACTTGATCTTTGTATATAGTGAGAGGGAGAGTCTAGTTTTTTTATTCTGCATATGGATATCCAGTTTTCCCAGCACTGTTTATTGAAAAAACTGTCCTTTTGCCAGTGAGTGTTCTCAGCGCCTTTGTCTAAAATCAGCAGGCTATAAATACATGGGTTTACTTCTGGGTTCTCTATTCTGTTCCATTGGTCTATGTATCTGTTTTTATACCGGTTCCATGATGTTTCGATTACTACCACTTTGTAGTATATTTTATAGTGTTTTGAAGTGTGATGCCTTCGACTTTTAAACTAAATTGTGTGTTAGGGGCAAAGGGCTATGTGTATAACCTACCCTTAACTAGTTCAGGGAGGAAAAAAACTGGGAGAAAGGAAAGGGGCAGAGGGAGAGAGAGCATGAACACGGACAAATGATCAGGGCAATGAGGAAAATGTTTACAGCAGGTGACTGTGGAGAAAGGGGATGTGGGTGTTCTCGGCACCATTTTACTTTTGCAATTTGTGTACTTTACATTTCTTTCTTTTTTTTTTTGAGTCGGAGTCTCACTCTGGTGCCCAGACTGGAGTGCAGTGGCTGCTCCCGGCCACCGCAGCCTCGACCTG